TCATTTCTGAAACATCTGTATTTATATAATAGTTTGTCCGATTTAGTGCAGATATGGTGAAGTACTTTACGTAATAAATAGTTTATACCAACGTTGATCACTCGATCGCTAGTATCTTTTCTTGTTCAAAAATGTCTTTCTGTATCCATGCTCAGATACGACGACAAGGATAAAAACAATCCGTTTGTTTCTATTGTGTAATGTGTATCTAATCTAATGGGATTTCGAGACAAATAGTAATGTATTTACTATTTACAAGTAAATAAGTAAAGTAAATACGATCTTACTTATCTACTGGTAAATAGTAAATAAGTTAAGTAAATATAGTATTTAGTATTTAAAAGTAAATATTAAATATGATACTTACTATTTATTAGTAAAGTAAAGGTAAAGTGCCACTCCTAGGTGGATCTATTTGCAATGAAAACGTCTCAAAGGGGAGATCTGATCATTTAATGACCTTCCATGATAACATTAGTTGTCGATGATCGAAATAAATCTCTATTTAATGTTTAGCTGATCAAAAACATTGTCGACATTGTATTAGTCGAGGGAAAGAGGCAGTTTCGAGTCTTGGATCGGAAATTTCGAACAATATCAAAGAATTAAAAGGCATTTGACAAAATAAAAAGAATCTTTATTCTTCATCAGCTATTTTCAGAATTAATTTGCCTTGGGCTTTTCCACTTTTGGATTTTTCATAAGCCAAATATAGAGCTTCTGCACCCTGTTTTCTCCAATCAAAAACCGTATCAATCAATGGTTTCAATTTTCTTGTTTCGATATAATTTGTTCGAATATCGTCAAGATCTTCGAATGATATACGAAGAAAATGAAAAATATAATTATGATGTGCAGAACCAAAAACCGACCAAAATTTTCGATTAATCAGACTAGATCCAAGATTAACTAAGTATTTCATTGTGAAACCTGATGTTGTATCATCACCAGCCAGAGTAATAAAGTGACCATGACGTTTTAATATTTGTTGCGCAGATATCCATTGTTGTCCGCCACCAACACAATCATAAACAACATCATAATTTTCACCTTTGAATTCTTCGCCAAAATCTTTTTGATTATAATCAATCACTAATAATTGTTCTTCTTCATTGGTTAATTCTGATTTGTCATAAATGACTTGGTATCCTAGAATTATCACACTGAGAAGTCATTCGAATTGATGAAGAAGAACAAACCTAATTTTTCCATTAGTT